GAAAACTCTACCTCCTAGAAGGTAAAGAAATTAAGGATATTTGCTTCTCTCACTGAGTAGAAAAGAGAAACTGGTGAGTTAAGGTGATAGGAACCTTTCAAGAAAGCAACCATTTTAGCTTAAGAGTCTCTAAGATACACTATGAAGCAAAACCCTAGACTGCAGGAAAGCAGTTCTTTAAAGTGAAGTCAGTATGATTCCATACCCTGAGATATTTCAAAATAGGAGATGGATTAAGAGTTGGAAAGGTCTGGGCCGCCTGGGCGGCTCAGTCAGTTAAGGGTCCCGACTCCAGCTCAGGTCATGATCTCACAGGGTCTGTGAGTTCGAGCCCCATGTCGGACTCTGTGCTGACAGCTCAGAGCCTGGATCCTACTTCAGATTCTGGGTCTGCTTCTCTCTCTCTGTCCCTTCTCTGCTCTCTCTCTCTCTCTCTCTCTCAATAAAGATTTAAAAATTAAAAAAAAAAGAGTTGGAAAAGTTTCTTGCCTATTGAAACCAGTTTGCCTGTACTGGGTGCTCTCCATTCAGTTTAGATTTCCAAAGAACAGTTAACAAAAGAAAGAGATGAAAATCAAGGATAAATAAATGTAAGATAGTGTGATGAAAATAATGCTAAGAAAGTTCATACACCAAATGAGCTTGAAAAAAAAACTACTAAAGATGACAGAAAGTTGTTGGGTTGTTCTTAGATATATGTTTAGATTATGGATTGGATAGATGTGTAACTCATGCAATGCTATGGCATGACCGAGATCAGGGAGGCCTTCTCAATGACTAGTCTTCCCTGTGGAAGAGAATGATCATAGACCTAAAAGGGTAAAGTAAACATCAGTAAACCATAAACTGAAGTCTAAGATAGTTAAAGTGTTCCTAAGAAGGCACTCAACTGTTCTGAATGAATTAAAATTCTATCCCGGGAGTGGTGACAAGTCTTATAGATTTTATTGCCTAGTCATAGTTGCTAAAGTTTCAGGACTGTGGTGTGGGTGATAGGTGTCAGAAGACCGGAGACAGCAAACATTGGCTTTGGTTTTTAAAAGGAACAGGAAGCACATGAGATCTTTAGACTAGACCAACGGATATCATGTTGACTGAGTGCACAATTCTAGAACATGTTATTACAAGGATGATTTGTAAGCACTTTTTAAAAAGATAGTAACCATGAGAAGGCAGCACAAATTCTCCAAGAACAAGTCATGTTAGACAAATCTCATTTCATTTCTATTTTTGACATGGTTTTTGGATTGGCAGATCAGTAAAAATGTAGGCATACTATATCTGGATATCAGCAAAGCATCTGACGAGGTCCCTCATCATATGTCTGTGAACAAGGTGGGAGAAATGTGGGTTGTGTGCTAGCAAAACAATGCTGCCTGATGGACAAGCGTCAACCTACAGGAAGGATTCCACTGGCATGCCACAGAGCGCTGACCTTGATCTTGTCCCAGTAATGACTTACCTAGAAATGAGGAAAGCATACCTAACAAAACTGCAGATGACACAATTATGGGAGCAATACAATGCAAATACCTCGTATGGCAGAATTAGAATTCAATTACATCCCCACAAGCTAACAAGGTGAAATCAAATGAAGCCCAATCAAGGCTCTAAACGTATTTCCACCTGCCCCCCATCCCAAACACACAATTAAAAAAGCTCCAACTATGTAATTTTAGAATAAAAGTGGCTTAGCCTCAGAACTTGTTAAGAAGTTTTAGGAGTTTGGTTACTAAGCATTCTCAAGAAAGTATCGGTAGTGTTACGTAGCCACAAAAAAAGCTGACATTGGCACAGACAGCATTAACAGAAGTATTTAGTTTAGAACAAAGGAGACAACTGATTGTTGGTAATAGCACAAATTTCTGAACGAGTCAATCAAGGTGATTACTGAGAGTCCCATCTAAGGTACATCAGCTCTGCTACCCACCCTTGCTCAAGGGGCAGCCATAGGTGGCCATGCTGTATGTTTAATTACATAGAAAAAGGTGGCCCTTTTTCTCCCTTGGCCTCACCTGACTGAGAGAATACTGTTGTCTCCCCTTATCCAAGGGGGATACATTCCAAAACCCTCAGTGGATGCCTGAAACCACAAATAGTACTAAACCCTATATATACTAGGTTTTTTCCTATACACACCTATGATAAAGTTTTATTTATATATTAGGCACATTAAGAGATTAACAACAACAATAATAAAATAGAACAATTATAACAATATATTATAAGAACTTATGTGAATGTGGTCTTTCTCTCAAAATATCTTACTGTACCGTACTCATGCTTCTTGTGGTGATGGGACACGATAAAATGACTACGTGATAAGATGAAGTGAGGCCAATGACACAGTGTGTGAAGCTACTGCTGACCTTCTGACGATAAGTCAGAAGGAAGAACATCTGCTTCCAGACCACGGTGGAGCGTGGGTAACTGAAACTGCAGAAAGGGGCAACTACTTTATCTTGAAAAGATGTTCTCAATTATTTGAGGTGACCTGAATGAACTCTGCACCTTGCCACCAAGGAGTCTAATAACCACCCCCCCCACACACACCTGCATTCAGCCCTGGCCATGACACTTCAAGAGGAGTTTGGTCAGCAGTGTGGAACTGTGCTCTACCGAGACCAGGCTGGAGGATTTGAAACCAGCCAATGTGAGGAAATGTTGAGGGAACTGGGGAAACATTTACGTCAGAGAAGTACAGAATCAGGAACGGTGAAGGGCCATCAGGTGTGTGAGGGATTTTATTTAGTCTGTGAGATCGCAGAACCAGATCTGGGAGAAATGTTAAGAGGTGGGAGATTTCGGTGCAGTAGGAATCCTCCCGGAGTTGCGGGAGGTGGAATGGAATGCCTCAGGAATGAATCAATTACCTGTTTTGGAGCCATTTAAGCTGAGGCAGGTGACCACTTAGTAAGGACAGCAGTACTACCTTTGAATTGTTTAATGCTCTGCAGTGTACGAAGCACTTTCTGCCACACCAGCTTGATCTTCCACACACATTGAGACAGGCATTTTTACATTCATTTTTACAGCTGAGGAAGCTGAGGCTCAGAGAGGTTATGTTACACAGCTCATGAGTAAGTGCCAGTGTGCCCACAAGAGATACCCTTTACTGACTGCACGTGAAACAAACACTTGAAAGGATATATTTGGAAAACCCTAGCTCATCAGGCTGATGGGGTTTCTAGGTTTGTAGAAAATTTGTCTTTGTGATACTGAATATATTACCAAATGTACTAAAAAGGTACTTTCTGCACAATCTCACATGAAAACTTATGTTCTTCTCTGCGTCTTAAGAAGCTGAGACCAATTAATACATTCCTTGCATAGATACAGAAGGTCCGTGGGTGCAGTTTGTGCAAACATGCCTAGATGTACATTTCAAATAAGAATAGTTTTCTCTCTCCATTTGCCTGAGCCCATTCCCCACCCTCCTTCCAGATTTCCTGTTATTTGGCTTCTTAGAGGGAAGGAAGTATGTTTTGCTTGTCATGATTGCTAGATAACCAGATTGCCCCCCCCCCACTGCTTCCTTAGCTCTCTATCACTAAGCCCTACAAAAGAATTAAAAGAATGAGTACATTTTTAAAGAAGATGAGTAAATCACCAACATTAGCAAAATCTCCTTGAAGATACCCATTGTTCTCTGCTTCTCTCACTTCATTCACCACCCTCTCTCAATTAAAAAAAAAAAAAAGAAACGATACACAAACACTGTCACTAGTACAGTTCTAATTGGGTTATCTTCACCATCGGAGCTGACTGCTGTATTTTCTCTTGGGAGATAACAGAAATATCACTTTATGAATCTATTTAATCTAGTGGTGATGGATGATACAGAATTTCCTGGATTTGAGCCATAATGCTCTCAGTTTGTTGGTGATGACATACTCACTGATGCCATGGCTGGCATATAACTTAATATGCTAAGAAAAAAATAAGCAGTCTTATAATGTCGGTTTATTAGTCCTCCCCTTTCCATTCCAATTCCCAAATATTGGGACAGAAATTGATCAGAGTTGACACCACACATTGCTTATCAAGTGATATATTATACCCCTTGTTTACATACAAATGTGCTTAGAAAAAGCTTCAGTAGTAGATCTAAACAAGGCGTATAGAAGGCAAGGGGCAGTCCTTGAATTTAAAAGATTAACAAAATAATATGTTTTATTAGGTAATGTTTTTCTATGTTAATGTTTAATACGTAACATTTTTCTAGGTAATGTTTACTAGAAAGTTGGAATTTTTTTAGTTTAAGATGAATAATTTCTCATTTAATTGCATCTAGTGCTAGTGTCTATTCTACAACGGGGGAGGATTAGAACTTTAACCCCATGACAGAGATTTGAGGAATGACTCTGAAAACCCAAATACATGAAGTGCTGGAAAAACAGAGGCAAACTTTTTGGTCAAAAGACCAAACTTCACCCTAAAGGCAGGATCGAGTTTTTAAAAGGACACACGGACCTCCAGTTTATGAAGGTCCTTTTTTAAAAGGTTCTTTTTAAAAAGGTTGTTTTAAAATTCCTTTTTTAAAAACTCTGAAGTCAACTTACTTTTCAAAAGAATCTTACAATAAAACCCGAAGTATCGCCGTTCCTCCAACTGTGTCTGGATTTTCCTGTAATGTTGCAATTTCTTGCAACAGGGTACAACTGCCTTTTACTTTGAGGATGCGATGATAGTTTAGATAATTGCTTCGTTTCCTAGGTTTTTGTGGATGGCTGCCCGTGGGGTGTTTATGCATCTGTGTTTCATCTTTCCACATGAACCTGATCTCGTCCATGTCTGTGAGCATGCCTGAATCCAGACGTGTGTGCCCGCGTGCACGTCTCTGCTTATAGGGGTCTGCCTTTTGCCCGAGCCTCTGGGGGTGTATCCCTGCGTGCATTTGTGTGTCGCTGCAGATGTCTACGGTGACATGAGTTTCTGCACTCAGTGGAATCATCCTCTGCCAATATTTAAGTTACTGGGATCGATAAGAGCTCAAGTACCTGGTCTCCAATGGTATGTTGCTATTCAAGACCCAGCTGTTATGCAGATGAACAGAATCCTGTGTACTGGTTGGGGGAGCTGGAGCAGCTGGGCTGGGCTGGCTTCGGGTAGTCATCGATCTCCTCTGAAGAGAGTCGGCTGCAGGGGGTGGTTTCCTGGCACAGGTGCACGCATGCGGAGGCGGTGGTGGAGGCGGGAGGGGTCTGAAGGTGAACTGGTTGTGTGGGCTGCTCTGCATGTCTAAAGAAAAGAGAAGAACACAAAATAGAGACTTACTCTCCCACTTGGCAGTCAGGGAAACACAGCTTGTCAGACTCAGGATTTCAGAATAATATAACCTGTGGGATGGGGGCAGAGTTTTAAGCAGTCTATCTGTAAAAATGTCACTTAACTTACAAAAACACGTGCAGCACGCTTCTGAAATGTGAAACATTCACAGTTGTATTTGCATGTAAATTCTTCAGGGCTATAGCAGCTAAGAAGTAAATGAGGCTGCCTCACACAATTTGTCATAGTTTCTGCTACCGAACAAATAAATCATCAACAAGACACTAAGTTACAGAACAGAAGTGAGCCGATTTCCATCAGTTGCAAAAGTCTCACTTCGGAAAATACCAGTGAAAGGCACAAATTTGTTGTGAGAAAAAAAATCATCCGACACTTCAAATAAAAGTATAAGGCCACCTTCTGGCTTACCTCGGGAAAGGATGCTAGCCTGCCTACACAGGAGCAAATCCGTGCTTCAGAGAAACAGCTCTCGAGTGTGTAACTCGACTGTGTGAAATGCATCTCTTTGCCAGCCCCCAACTAAGAAACAGTGCTGCTTGGAAAAGGCAGGCTAAAAGGAGTTTGCTCAGGTTATTATACAGATTTCCATGGCCACGAAAAGCTCAGTCCACCCCCTCCCCCCACCTGCCACACCTTTCTAGGAGCTCTGCCATATTAGCAGCAGCTTAGGCAGAAGGGAAACCATTTTTTTTTCTCCTGCCTGTTTGTAGCTGGGGCAGCCTGGGACCGCGGTCCTCAGACTTCTGTTGTTGCTGTTGTTTGGTATTTTTCCACTGTTTTCCTGGCAGGCACATGTATAGACAGCGAGTTAGGATCTGGCCCATGAGAAATGCCCCAATTAAACCCCTTTGAAAAGGAATCACTATCGTAGCTGATAGCCACCTCTCTTCCACAGGAGAAACATAATAGATGTCAAGTGATCTCTTGTAACACCAGCACGTTCTGGATAAACTTTGTAGACAGCATGGCTTTGTCCCACCTCCCAAATGACTGAGAGTTGAAAAGCAGAAAAATGCCAGAGGCTTTCCATGCCTAGCAAAGAGCTCAGCTGGTCTGTGCTGAGACTCGCTTTGCAGTGGCTGATCACAGGGAAAAAAATAACTTCTTTCCATCCTTCTACCTCAAACTTGAAGTTTGAAGACACTGGCATGGTTTTCATATTTCAAAATGATACTGGTTCCCCAAGAGCATGACAAATTCTTGGCTGTGTTTTCTACTATAGATGGCTCTCCCTTTAAATATCCTTGCTGTATGAAAAAGGGAATTGTACAAAAGATAGATAGGGAGGGGAGTAGTGATCATTCATTTTATACAAAATATTCCACTAGATAGTCAGCTACCCTTGTATATTTAAAAGGAGCTAAAATGCTCCATGAATTTTTGAAATCAACCCCATTATTCCAGGTCCGGCCCAAATCTCATATCCACTAAAAATATCATCACAAGCACTTAACATCTCATTAATTTTTTTAAACCTCTGGGCTCATACTCACAACCGTAACTAGAAGCATGCTCTCCATCTTTGGGACTCAAAGAAGCATTGAATGCTAGAAGCCAAAAGACCTTTCACTTTGCAGATGAGAAAACTGATGTCTAGAGGACTGCTTGTCCAGGGACACTTGGCGTGGCCCAACCTAGAACCCATATCTCCAGACTCTCCGGCCAGTGCTCCACGCGCTATCCTGTAGATCTCTGTCACATGAGCTCTCTTTACCTCCTGAAGATTTAGAGACACAGAATCCTCCACATCTCCGGGATTTTTCACTTGCGACATACCACTTTACACCGTGACTATTCATATGTCTGCTTCCCTCCTTAGATCCTATCTCCTTCAGCGTCAGAAGGAAGGCGGTTGGGTGTAGTGGTATGCAGCCCTGCACAGTGCAAAGAGCACAGGATTTGGGAGGATGGCAATCCTGGGTTTGAATTCTGCCTCTGCCATTTAGAAACGTTAACTTCTCATTTGTGAAGGGGAGATAAGAATCCTTTCCCCTAGCCATTAAGCTTAATTCATGTCAAATGTGCTTGGACATAGTGCGTCTGTCAGTGACTACTTGTTTATTGAATGCAGTAGAAGGATGAAACTTCCAGGCTGGAAATGACCACAGGGATAACCCAGTGCAGCATTCCCTCCTCCCCTCTCCATTTGACAGATGAGGAACCCAAGGCTCAGAAAGGTGAAGTGACATGTTCAAAGTCACTCAACTTGCATGAATTTGCCTGCCTCTGTCTGATGACTCCTGGCCGAGTACTCTTTCCACGTGCCATTTCAGGAAATAAGTATGATTCTCTTCTTGATTTTAACATTTATTATTCTTATCGTAGCTTTGGCCCCTGGGTTTGCAGTATTACAGTATCCCCTTGTTTTCCTGTGTTTTTGTCTTATCTACCAAAATAGACTGTGTATTTCTTAGAGCAAGACCACCTTCTACTTTTCTTGCATGTCACATGAGCACGGTGCTAGGTACAGAGTAAGATCCCTAAAAACTTTTATTTCGCTCCCCCACTGGGACCTAGAGAACCACCCTCAGTGTACCCTGGGCTCTTTCATTCTGATGTGGACACTGGGTAACTATTTGACAATTCACTAAGCAGTAGGTTTCCCCCTTGTTGGTCTCAGTGAAATCTCTCCCACAGCCATGGGGAAGGACAAGGATACCCTTCCAAAGAGGGCACTTAAAATCATGCCCCTCCAAGGCATGAAACGGGCAGCAGAGACACGCCACAGATTTGCCATCTAAATCAATGAATTTAATGATGCAAGCAAGGGAAACAGGGTGGGAGTCCAGAGTCAGAAGAAGAAAAGGAATCAATTTTAGGTGTTGGGTCCGGAATACTGCCAAAGGACACGTGTCATCTATTAGCTTAATCAGTAAGTGTTTGTGTCAGTACAGTTGTTCAAAAGTTGGAAAGTCTCTATTCAGTACAATTGTTCAAAAGAAAGAATCACTCATTCTCATCTGGATTTATTACTTGCTGGATTTCCTCAAAATATGTGCAAATTCCTTATTATGAAAAATGATAAAAATTCTACTTCATTCAAAAGTACAGTTGTGGTATTATTAGAACATATCATACCATTTCTGCTGCAGGTAGAACTACCTTCTATAGTTATTTCAATTATATATGTGTGTGTGTCTTGATTTAGATGTATTTTACTGTGTATTTTTGTTTCTACATTTTAAATATGCAGAGGTTTCCCTACTTGTTAATATTGTCTTTAAAAGCTTTCACAATATTGGATTACTGCATCGAGTGGAATACATCCAGACCTTAAGCCCTTATGAAACGCAAATGATGTCAGCTTCATTCTTTTTTTTCACCTCAGGAAAAAGATGGAGAATGAACTTGTTCCCTCCCAAATGAAGTAATTTAATCCTTGGGCTCCATGAAATGGGATTTCCCAACATTAAACACTAATGAAAACTACATTAGGGTACAGTGTCAGGAGCTCTAGAACACCAGTTCCAAGGGGTGAAGAGTCACATGAACTCACTTCCAGATGTATCTGGCAACCATACATTTCTGTGCCCAAGAGAGAGACGCAAAGGAGAAGGGGGGGGGTGGGTAGTGATCATGTAAATGTGGATATCCAGACATACTTCTACAGCTTTCTGAAAGTAAATTAAGATTTCAGATGGAAAGGTCTAATTCACATAAAATACTTGGGCTGGATCCAGCTTCAGGTTTGAGGTTCTAAAATAACGTAGTAAGAAAATCTCTTGGGGGAGGGAAATTCCTCCAAAATGTATATCTAAGGCATTTTAGGCATGGCAGAACTGTTAACAGAAGTATAAACCTTCAGAAATGACATTGCCCTTGTCTCCAAAAGGTATATGGTGGTCCAAAAGAAAGTGGTCATGCATAGCTTTTTCTTTTTTAGTTAGAGAAACTCCTCACTGGAAATTAGAGTATCTCTACTCAGAAACACTGTGGGGGGACTGATCAAAGAGTTCATTAGGATGTTTTGCCCCCTATGCTTCATCAACACAGCTATAAGGTGTGTATAGCTATCAGTTCAGCTATGAGGTGATGTTTGCATTTCTAACATTCAAGGCACTACACGCAAGATCATGCATTGGAAAAGGGCTCATGGGGAAGAGGAGTTTGGGGCACAAGACCTGAAGTCTGCTTATGAAAGTGTATGTCCCATGGGTTGTAACTTAGGAGTTACTGTGGAGTGATGGAAGGAGGGTTGTCTGAGTCCCACAGAAAGATCTACCCCCAGAGGTGGATGGGTGAGGCTCCTAACAACGTGGTGAACGAAGATGGCTGGCAGATACGTGCATTTGTGTATTCCTATGTGGTTCATTCTGCTGGATGCAGTTTTCTGCCTTCCCCTAGTATTTCTAACAGATGAAATTGCACATATGCAGACACGAAATCTGTCTTATGTTCAAATTGTTCTCAAAGATACCAGTAGCCTGTGAACAAATTAATGTTTTCAAAACAAGAGCTGTAGCAGAACTGACTGTACATGGAAAATAATTTCCCATAAGTGTTAAAAAATAAATACTGTCACTAATACAGTAATGCCACATGGATATTTTTTTCCCTGAAAAATGTGACCAAAGTAGACACACGCTTAGTTTTCCCCAGATCTGTGTACTTAACTGATCAAACTTTTCTGTACCGATACTAGGACAATTTTTTCCCCCAAAGTTACGATGCAGTGCTTGTGGCTAAAAGGAGCACATATATTCTCAGAGCTGTAGAAAAAGGTCGCAAGGAGTCAGAAAACATGTCTGCACTTCCTGGCCTTAAGTCTGTGTTTCATTACTTCACTGGCCAAACAGAAGACGGCTGGACGATTCCTTGTCTGTGACTCTGGAATCGAAAAATTCCTGAAAACCCAGTTTTTTCCCCTAATTTACTTGGTAGCAAAGCCCGATGTAAACAGATATGAAGACGTTTATGGACTTTATTTCATTTGGAGAATTTTCATACTTTTA